TTCATACAAACTCTCTACTTCATATAAACTAAATTCGTTCTACATTACAAGGTTGGCAATTCCGATTTCTTATAGAAATGGTTTTCTACCTCACACGTTTTCTACCGGAGCACGTGAACTTAAAAAAAGTTAAATATATGCGTGTTTTGGGAACAAATTAAATTAACTAAAAACGAATTGTATGACCCGATGTTTGCAAGCAGGGCTGCCAACTTGCCATTTTTGCCATGCCATTTTCGGCCCTATTTTACTTCAAATGGCACTTAATTTTTCAATTTGGCACAAAGTGACAAAATAGCACTTTTGAAAAATAGTAATATTTCAATATATTTTTGGGAAATCCTTTGCGTGTACTTCTTTTTCTCAACTAAAATTTTCTAATTTCTATAGTGTATACAACTGTTTTATCTTACTTTGGCATTGGTCTTTTGTTTTAGGAATGTGTTTCTAATTTTTACGCTAAATGAGATGAATTAAAAAGAATGGCACCTTTTTTGCCACTTTTATTTTTCTATTTGGCATATTTTGGCATTTTCTTATCCTCAGTATGGCACTTCATAGCTAAGTATAGTTGGCAAGCCTTTTAAAAATAGCTCAAGGTATATTGTCTATTCCACATTCCTCCGCAAATGTTGAACGTGTCCTTTCTGTTCAGAATCTGATAAAAAACTAAACGTAGTAATAGATAACAAGTAAAAACCTGAGAACTGAGTTTAATAAAAGTAAGAGATTATACTATATCTTCTCAAAGTTTTTGTCATAATATAAAAATGCATACAGAGTTTTTAAACCAAAATGTGACTTAAGATCTCACAGAAAGTGAAATACTTGACTAATTTTTTCTCTACTTATAATACATACACAGTGGTGGAAAAATAAATCGGGACACGCCATTTTTTAATCTTTTGCTTATTTTTCTTTCGTTTATTTAATATTTATTATTTTTTTATAAAATGTGGGCTATCCATTATCCAACAAAAACCATACAAATTCATACTTCAAACTTTGTGTAAAAATTATAAAAATTCTGCAAAATTGTATCTTAATCAGATTTTTTAGAATTTTTCGGAGTCTGTAGTTTTATAGCCCATTAAATTTTACTAGAATGAAGTGTTGTTGCTAATTAAGGGAGTAAGAAATACTAGCGCAGGGTGCGCCGAGTGACAGAGTCCACAATAATTAAAACCGATTGGATTTTAATATATATAATTAAAATAATTAACAGACTTTATTCAAGAAAAGTTAAACAACGATAATATATGTAGAGTGACTTCAAGTTTATAGCCCGAGTGGCTTGATAATTACAACGAGTGCGATGCGGCCGCGGCGGTAGTTGAAAAAGAAGTGCCTAAAACTTTCTTAATTGCAGGCACAGGTCACCCCATGACACCGCTTACAACAAAAACAATCCAATTTTACATTTCCAAAATTAATTCACAATAGTATAAATGATAAGGTTGCCGGCCGCAAGCATAATATGAAAAATGAGAACAAAAATATCAAGACTAATCAAACTCGATCAAATTGGCGCTCATGTCCTCGACATGCCGGCCCGCCGGCCCGCCTGCACCGGTGCAACGTACAGCAATTCCTGTAACTTCTGGAGAGTTTCCCTGGCCCGGTCGAATAAGTCCCGAATGCGCCGTTGAACTTTGTTGCGGCCGCCTGGGGCCCCGACTCGCTGGTGTTTCGACCACACGGCTGGCGAGTGTCCGCGGTGGACTTGCGTGCGTGACTTGGCGTGGCGCTGGCGTTCCGGTGGCGATGCCGTTGGACGATGCAGCATGGTGTGGTGTGCCATCCCACACCGGAGGCAGCTATCAGCTGAGCTACATGCGCCTATGGTATGCGAGGTGGCCAAACAATTGATACAATATTTATGTATTCGCGCGGATTCATACCGCTCATCGGGCGTCATAGCTCGGAATGCGTGACAAAACCTAAGCGGGTGGTAGCGGCAGCACAAGCGGCATTGGTTGACTTCCATTACACGTCTGTCCATCTGTGGAGAAACCGTCGAAAAAATGAATTAGTCACGTCATTTTATAGCGAACTGGGGGTGCATATATGGGAACTAGAGTGGGTGAAAGCATGCAGGGCTGATAGAGAGATTCTACAGAGTGGGCAATGAACATAGCTTTGCAATATTGCGCGTGATGGTTCCGGCTTGGGTGTGAATATCCACTACGCGAACATTTGCATCTTGACCGGGGTGAAGTCTCACAACGCGCCCGAGTCTCCACTCGTTAGGGGGTAGAAGGTCGTCCTTGACGACAACGAGGTCTCCTTCCTTAATGTTAGGTTCTTGTCGCTTCTACTTATGCCGTTTGTGGAGTTCTTTGAGATATTCATTTTTCCAGCGATTACTGAATTGCTGATGAATAACCTTCAATTTTTGCCATTTGTTCGTCAATGGAGGGTTTCCGAGTGGGGTTCAGGCAGAGAGTAGTGGGGCACCACGTAAGAAATGTCCTGGCGTTAACGCCAACAGATCGGTGGGACCCTGAGACATTGGGGAGAGCGCCTTGAAATCAACACCGCTTCAATTCGGATAAGGATGGTGGTGAATTCTTCGAAGGTGTACTTGTGATTTCCTGTGACCTTCGTCAAATGGATTTTGAAGCTTTTTACAGCAGCTTTCCATAGCCCGCCCATGTGAGGAGCATATGGTGGGATGAACTGCCATGAGAATCCGTAAGTTGCGTATTTTTCGGCGATATCAGTGGCCGCTTCTTTAAGAAACTGGGAGAATTCTCTTTGCAGCGTTCGCTGCGCACCTACGAACGTTTTTCCGTTGTCGGACATGATTTTGTGGGGGATTCCACGGCGGCCGACAAATCGGGTAAAAGCTGCCTTGAACGCTTCAGTGGTCAGATTGGAGCATAACTCTAGGTGTACGGCTTTGGTGGAAAAGCACACAAATACACACACGTACGCCTTTGCGTGGGGAGCTCGTCGGAGGGTAGATGTTTTCACGAGAAATGGCCCAGCAAAGTCAACACATGTGGTATGAAAGGGGAGTGTGTATGTGGATCGTTCAGGAGGAAGCGCGGCCATTATCTGTGACCGCATCTTTTGTTTATAGATTGTGCAGACCTTACACTGAAAGATGCATTTTTTTATCTTCTGTTTCAACCGGGGGATATAGTACTCTTGCTGCACCATTCGGATTATTAGTTGCTTGTCAGCGTGGAGAAGAGTGGTATGGAGGAAATCGATCAGTAGGACACAGAGCTAAGAGTTTTCTGGGATTATGATCGGGTGGCGCTCATTATAGCTAAGCGCTGCATAAGTTAATCGACCGTTCACCCGCATGATCCCCGATCTATCCAGCATCGGGTTCAATGTAAGCAGAGTGCTTTTTTTGCTGATGGGTGTAGATGCGGTAAGTGATCGAATCTCATTTGCGTAGTACATAAGCTGTGTTTGAGCGATGATACGTTTTTTTGCTTCGGTTATTTCGTTGTGCGTTAGGGGGAGAGAAGTGGGTATCGGCTGCTTTCTCGCTGCGTTTATAAACCGATACATAAACGCTATTACTCGCAACGCTCGAGGATAGGAAGAAAAACGCTCAAGTATGTCCACCGATTCAATCGTGTACAGGGATTCAATACGTCGTTGTTCTGGGGGTGACGAATGTGGAGATGGGTTTTTTAGCCACAACGTGGGGGGTTTTAGCAGCCATTCTGGGCCATTCCACCAGAATGCGGATGTCGCGAGATCTTGGGGATGGCATCCGCGGGTGCCTAGATCGGCAGGATTCTCTGCACCAGGTACATGCCGCCAAGTGGCATTGCTCACATTTTGGAGTATGAGCGAAATTCTATTGGCGACTTACGTTTTCCAAGTGTGTGACGTTTTTTCTAACCACGCCAACACAATGGAAGAATCTGACCAGAGGTATAAGTCATGAGCAGGTAAATCTAGTTGGGATTGGAGTTGATTAACCAGCTTGGAGAGTAGGACGGCTCCACAGAGCTCAAGTCTGGGGAGGCTGACTGTTTGCAGGGGGGCTACCTTACTTTTAGCTGCGAGAATGTGTGACGAGAAGGAGTTTTCGTCAATTTGTACTCGGAGGTAGACACAGGCGCAATAAGCTTTTTCAGAGGCGTCTGAAAACCCGTGTACTTGTACACGGTGAGTAGGGGAGAATTTCACCCAGCGAGGAATAACAATTTCATTAATCGCGGGGAGATTTTCGCGCAGAGTGTTCCACTTGTGGAAAGCGCCGGGTTTTACGTGCTCGTCCCATTCAGTTCCTTCCATCCATAGTTGTTGAAGGAGCATTTTAGCGGAAATCATGACTGGCGTTAGCCATCCTACCGGGTCAGACAAATTTCGCCACCGCAGATAATATTTGCAGTTTTGTCCTCGAGTTGGCAGCGGGAACCGGATCGTACGTGTAAGAGAAGGAGTCCGTTAGCGCGTTCCATTTTATGCCTAGCGTTTTTGTAGAGCTAGTGTCCTGAAACTGGAGAAAATCAACATCAAGGACCTCGGAATCTGGGACTGATTCCAGGATTTTTGTGTGATTTGAGGTGATTTTTCGTAGTGGAAAACCTGCAGATTTTAGGGCGTCTTTAACTTGGGTTAATGAGCTTATAGTGGACTGTATATTATGCCCGCCTGAGAGAATATCGTCCACGTATGTTTCTCGTAGGAGGATATTGCTGGCGAGCGGGAATTCGTCCTGACACTCCTGCGCTAACTGATGAAGCGTACGGATTGCCAGATAGGGAGCGCAATTGACACCAAAGGTGACTGTTTTCAGCCTAAAATCTTCTATGGGCTTATTTGGGGACCTATGAAAGACGATTCTTTGGAAGTCTTGATCTTCCTTGTGGACGAGAATTTGGTGATACATTTTTTCGATGTCGCCATTAAAAACCAACTTGTAGAGGCGCCATCGAAGAATGATGAGCATCAAGTCGTTTTGAAGGGTTGGGCCAGTGTATAGCACGTCATTCAATGAGTTTCTAGAGTGCGATATTCTGGAAGCATTGAAGACTACGCGTACTTTTGTTGTTTTGCTGTCTGGTTTTATGACAGCGTGGGTAAATAAAAGGAGAAGTATTTACCGCCATTGATGACTTCTTGGGATGAGGTGGGCTCCATGTGGTCCATGGTGATGTATTCTTCCAGAACTTCTGAGTACCTTTTGCAGAGGTCAGGTTTTTTCTCCAGAGTCCTTTCGATGCTGATGTACTGCTGCTGCGCTGCTAGTCGAGAGTGTCCTAGAGGCATGATGTCTGGGAATTCAGGTTTGATGGGTAGTTTCACCATGTATCGTCCGTCTGTCTGCCGGATTGTTGTGCGTCGATACAGGTCCTCACAGAAGTCCTCTTCACTTGAGCGGGGTTGCGTGACAGCTACTTCCTCCTGTTCCCAAAACTTCTTCAGCAGTGAGTTCAACGATTCCTCCTGGGGTTCGGTTACCTGGGTGGTAAAGGTGGAGATCCTCTCCTGGATTGGGCCGCTCAGAATCCATCCAAATATCGTGTTCTGCGCTATGAGACTTCTGCTTATGTTTTGTTGCAGCCCTTGTAGGAGAATTCGGGGGATTAGGTCACTGCCGATTACCATATCTGTTTTATTTGGGGTGAAACAGTTGGGATCGGCGAGCCTTAATCGTTTTATCTAAGTTCTAAGTTAATATGAGAGATATTGGTTGTAGGTAGAAAATGAGTCAATTGGGGCAAAATAATGGCTTGGGTCTTATTTTCTGGGCTCGATCTGCTGAGCAGAGTGTGATTTCGCATATTTTCTTTGAATTTTGCACCACCATTCCACCCATTTCAGAAATCTCGAAATCTGTCATAGGCAAGCGCAAGAGTTTCTGTATCCGGGATGATACATACGTTTTTTGTGAGCCTTGATCCACCAGAGCGCGAATGTTATGATATTCGCCATCACAATATATCGGTACTACCGCCGTTGGGAGGAGAGTTGTGACGTTAGTACTCGAAAAGTGAGATGACACTTTATTTACGTCGTTTTTCTCTGGTGGCTTATGTGTCGCATATTTCGAGCAAGTGGGCGCTTCAGTATCCATACTAGTCTGCGTCGACAGCTGACTCGTTGNGCAAATGGGCGCTTCAGTATCCGTACTAGTCTGCGTCGACAGCTGACTCGTTGTTCGCTGGGGTTTTGAATTGGAAAAGTAAAAGTGGAAAAGTGTAAGTGTGTAAAAGAGAGTGATGTTTTCTTTGGCAGTATATACAAGTGAAGCTGCTTGATCAATCACTCTTTAAATGGGAGTAAGAAAGGCAATTTTCACAATAATTGTGCTCTCGTATGAATCTTAAACGGTCAGATACGGACAGTGCTTTAAATTTAACACATGTCTTCATGGGGTGCCTTGAGTTGCAGAGTTTGCATGAGATCGGCTGATTTAGATCTACATGAAAATTTTGAGTTCTACTTTTATTAATGAACGTCGAATTTTGGTTCATCATTCTGGGTGTAAAAAGTGGGGTAGGTGGTTTTAGTTTGCCTGGCCGATATGCATGTAGTCTTTCTACTACTTCATACCGGCTTGTGAGGAATTTATTCATATCTGCCCACAGCGGTAACTCTTTCCGTTAGCCGGGTGGATTGCTCCCATAGAGACAGAGTTTCACTGGGCAGTTTTGAGGAACATAAATATACAAGGATGGGGTCCCAATTGCTGGTCGGGTTTCCTTGTGCTAAGAGGGTTGAGAGGCAATTATTGATGGTGGATTGAACTTTTTGGATTTGCTCACCACTTTCTGTGTATAAGAGGGGAATATTGAATAACGCTTTTAATTGGTTATGTACCAATATCCTACGATTCTCGTACCGTGACTTTAAGGCATCCCAGGCAAGTTCAAAATTATCGTCAGTGAGAGGGAATTGTTTAACTATTTGTCCTGCCTGACTTCTGGTTTTTTGCCGTAAATGGTAAAGTTTCTGGGCTGGTGTTAATTTGGGGTGATTTTTATAGACTGCCGTGAACATATCTCTGAACGCCGGCCGGTCTTCGTACCCACCGTGGAAAATTTCTGTATCACACGGTGGTACCTTGAGGAATACTTCTTGGGAGTTCGAAGTTGGGGTGGAATTTGTGGTGGGAATGTTGCTTGTTTGGGACTGGGAATTTGCCCCGAGAAGTTGTAAGCCGTCTAAAATTTGCGTCTTACAATTCTCATAACTTTCGCTGGATTCAGCGAAGTGCTCAGAGCGGGATACTGCTCTATATGAGCTTATAACAGCATCCCATAACTTGTCAAGTTGCTGTAACTTCACATTTAAAAGCGTTTGGGTGTGTTCGCTTATAAGGGTGCTGGACCATTTTGAATAAAATGACTCTAGCCTATTACTATCAAAAATGAAGTCCTGAAGGCTTGAGTCAGAACCAGTAGGAGATTTCTTTTCCATTTTGGGTTCTAAAGAGGTAGTTGGGAGAATTCGGGGTGCGACGGTAGTGAAGGAGTAAAAAAACGTAAAAATATCCTTATCTTGTCTTGAGATACCAAGAAGCAGTTAACACCTTCTTATTTTTAAATTTAAAATATTTATTTTCGCTACTTTTTAACGATTAATAATTTTTTTCTCGTGTGGTGCTATTTTTATGAGCTCTACTGTATCTGCTTCGGGTGCTATTTTCTTGACCTCTACTGTATATTGTCTCAGCGCGTCTGAGCCCAATAGTATATATGTACGTGTGTACGTATGTGTATTTGCTGGCGTTGCCAATTTTGGGAGCGCAAAAGGTGGTTGGAGAGCGAGAGAAGCGAAGTAAATAAATATGCAAGCCGTACTATGTACGTACGTAAGTAAATGGGTATACCGTTTGTCTTTTCGGCTTGTGAGTATGTACGTATGTCGCAAATTTTGTAGCAGAATCTTATTTTTTCACTTTGAAACGGGGTAAATCTCTAGGCATAAGTGGAAGAAGGGGACAAGAGAAAAGCGATTTTTGTACTTTTCGGGTACCGCTAATTAAAAGGAGAATAATTGCAAACACAAGTTCGTGTGTTATGCTCTGTGTCGTGGTTATATGCGAGTATGTACATATGTATGTCCGAAGGAAGTGGCTTTAGAATAACAGCGGGGAAATGAACAAACGGGTGTCCGGTATGTAACTATGTACTTGTTTAATATACGTGCGTGACTTAGTGAATTTTTCTACGTTCGTATATACAAGTACATATGTAAGTACGTGTACCGTACGGGACAAATGAGCTGATATATATATCTGGATGAGTAAAGATTTGTTTCGCGCACCGCTAGAACTCACATATATATGTACATACTATGTAGAAATTTCGGGACTTATGTGAATATGAGGGGGCAGTGAAGCCTGAGATTGGGTAAATATGTATGTAAATTGTATTACGTATGTATATTTTATGGAGGTTTTTTCCGGTTTGAGAAGGGGAAATGTGATATTGCGCAGGATTATATACTTTTATTTATGTACATATATGTCGGGATATATGTATTCTTGAGGAGATATGACTTTAGTTACGGTAAATTAGAAGTTCGGCGACTTCAATTTACCGTACTGGGGAACCGCTAACAAATTTACATACGTAATATACATATGTATATTTTTATGTGCAAGTTTAGAGTAGTGCACTTGCTTGCTTCCTGGGTACCACCTGTTTTTTTGTCGGGCCTGAAATGGCCTGTATCCTGTCGCTGCCGTTGTTGCTATCTGCTTTCGTTGTTGGTGCTGGGGTCTTCACTGCCGCTAAGACCGTTTTAGTTCGCCTTTTTCCCTTTTTTATTGTGGACCTTTATTTTTTATTTCCGCACGTACCGTTTTTTTTTTTTTAACTAGGTATGTATGTAGCTCTTTTTTTCTATATCTTGGGCTTTTTTCTTTTTCAGCAATTTTTTACTGGTAAGTTGGTATGCACTTTTTCGCACACTTTTTTTTCCAGCACACTATTCAGCCTTTAGTTTGACTTTGTTTTTAAACGGTTTTATTTAGCTCACCCCGTTTGTTTTATTCTTGGGTCAAATTTAGTAATTCAAATTTCACCCTCTTCCTGTCAACCGATTAATCTGAAATTTTGTATACACTTTGGATTTTGGTGACAATACAATTATGTTTATTCATTATCATTATAGATGGCCGCCGCTACAAAATGGCGGATAATTTATGTTTTTTTTATTAATCCCATCAATATGGGTATCAAATGAANTACTATGAAAGCCTAAAACTCGCTTATAATCGAGCTTGCTAGCTTGTTTCCACATTCTAGCCCTACTTATCACACGTCCATCGTTGTCGGTTGAACAACTGCCTAATTATAGTGTAACATTACAAAACAAACATTTTAATCAACGATTGTAGACAATTGACGTGCCCCACGGTTTTATTTTAGTCTAGTCTATGCATATGTTTATAATTCCCACGACTGTATCTATTTTATTATTTTTTGGTTTTTAGTACATTTATCTTAAACATTGCAATGTATGTTTAACATAAAACCGTTTAACTTAAAAAGTTTTTTTACCTATTTTTATTTAAGTATATATACACTTTTTTCCACACTTATACGCCCTTTTTCAGTTTTTTATAGAATTTTCTTGTTTTTTTTCAGGTAATTATTTGCTTTTTATTGAATTTTCTTTTCTTTTCAGGTATTTATTTGCTTTTTACTGAATTTTCTTTTCTTTTCAGGTATTTATTTGCTTTTTAATGAATTTTCTTTTCAGGTAATTCTACTGAGTTTTCTTTTCTTTTCCGGTAATATTTCGCTTTTTACCCTTTTTATTTTCAGCTATTTCCACGTTTTTTTTGTCAATTCACCCACTTTTCCTTTTCCACAGTGCTTTTAATTTTAATTTTTGTATGACGAACCACCCTAATGCTCGCGTTGAGGTGCCGCTATACCAGAGTTGGCTTTTATTTTTGTTTGTGTTTTACAGTATATGTTAATTTCCACTCTAATTTGTTAATTTTCTTAACTTTTTGTTTATTTCACCGTATATGCGTTCAAATTAGCGTTTTTTTTGCAATTTCATTAGTTTTTCCGCTATTTATTTCTATTTGTTATTTTTTTTTCCACTACCGCTTGCTATTTTGCGCGTAACTACCGGCCGCTTTTAAGTTATCTTTCGACTGACCTCGACAGAATTCGCTTTGTACGTACTCATGTACTTTTGTTCGGTCGCGGGTTGCCCTTTAGCGACAAAGGACCATGTTGCTAATTTATTTATTTATTTATTTATTTTTTACAGTCTGTTAGACTTATATTGCAACAAAGATTTAACATTCTTATAATTAGATTTTAGATTTAAAATGTAAATATTAAATATTAAATACAAAATACAAAATGCTCTACAGAAATTTTTAAATAACATTATTTCTTTATCACTGCAATTATTTTATGTCAATATAAACGCATGCAATTTGAAAGTAAATAAAGAGAAGCTTTAGTTCTACAACCAAAAGAGAAGCAGGAAGTGGGAAAAACAAAAGAAGATTTGAACAAAAATGTTGACCCCTCGGGCTTGAAAATTAATAGTGTACAGGGGAGGAAAAGTGGGGCTGTAGTAATACAAGCAGAAAATGAGGCTGAGCGTGAAAAAATCAAAAAGGCAATAGA